TTAGAGGAGATGATTTGCGGAAACCTGAGAAGATAGCCAGGCTCTCACAGACGTAGACTCCAGTTACTTCTCTGTAGGATTGATGTAGAATATTTGGTCACGGGTAAGCGCTCCGTCCGTGGTGTGGCCCCAAACATCACTCTCCGTCATGCCCTAAAATGAAAATCAGATTTTTTGCTCTTCCAGATGACTCCTGAGGGATGCACCATTCGATTCAAAATACTACAATGTATGCTATACGAAGTTATTCATGTTGTCTGAGGCTATCCTGTCTAAATACTTTGTTTTCTCACTTCTTTACCCCCCATTGCCGGTCGTCGTCCCAGCCCCTTGGCGCCACGTCGATTCACGTGCGCCCGCCGACCCGCCAACCTCCGCATTTCACTCAATGACTGTGTATTTCATCGATCTTTGACATGTGGTTACATAATATTCTTGGTTTTCTGCCACTTGTACATAAATTGCTTCATGATTTATTCAAATATTATATGAGCAAACAGTTGATGAGAACACATCACAACATATGGATCAGAACCCACCGCCCAGATTATGATCATGAACAACATAGGCATACGTCCTCGTATTCATGAGGGGAATTCCGCTATATTTGTGAGCCAGGACTGTCCATTCTTATGCCCTCAAGGCCCCACACGTACTGTTAAATCAGTATCCTAATTTTTTCCCAACGTCTCTGCCAGTACGTTTCCGGCTCTCGTAAAACTTGAGCACGACATCTGGAAAAAACACAAGTCTGATCCCAATGAATGCTTCATCTCGGGAATCTTAGCCTTCGCTATCATTGTTATAAGAGTCAGCTGTTGAATGAAAATGATACGGTCTTTTGTTCAAATTCGGTTATCCACAACGAGCTGCAGTTCTCCGGGTCGTCCTCGTAAACCATTTTCTCCAAATCTAGAGCAAACTGGTTCTTGATCTGGCCTCCGGTTATTTCCTGATTTCTGCAGACGGACCTTTCACACTGAGCAATGTGTATGCGAGTGTTGCTTGAAAAGTATTTACAAAAAATAAGATGGCCATAGCATCTACAAGACAATCTAGGGAATGAGCGCACTTGGGGCTGTCTTTGCGGTGGTTCCTCCTTAGAACCTCCCTCCCGATTTGCTCCAGCCTTTCTTCTTTCAGTGTGGGAAGTCAACATGGCGTTCCTGAATGGGATAAAGGAGAGAATTATTCAAAAAAGCTTCAATGGTTTCCACCAATAAAAGAATTTCTTCAGTTTGAATCAGCATATTTTTGATCAGGGATATATCCTCCCCATGCGTATCTGCCTTGTGATGACCTCCTCTAAACTGGGCTCGTTTCCGCAGTGCCAGTTGGGCTCGAGCGGCCACGCGCTGGCGACGCGCTCTCTCGTCTCCTCCAAGGCTTAGTCACAAGGATAGTTACCCTTTCGCCATCATGACAGTTTCGAAATACACCTCATCAAGGATTAAGCCTCGGAGAGGGAAACTAAAAGAGCGTCGTGCCGTAGTATGACCAGCCCTCCAAGTTTCACTAATAAGAGCAAAATTCTTGTAAAGGTTCATCGCCAAAGATGGCATTCGCAGTTGTGTCCTTTCCCCAACACATACGAGACGTTGTACAGTACTCGCCGTTTGAAATCGAAAATTCACGCGAATAACGCGAATCCTCGTTAATTTCGTGAATTCGTTATAACTCGGTTCAAAATTGAGCTTTCGAGAATCCGAAGATATCTTTGAATTCAGCTCGTCGGACACTAAGAATGTGCTTTGATACTTTGGAAAAGCTCCATATAGGATTGCGCCATGCACTCGATTTTCATCTCAAAAAGTAGTTGCTCGCATGTGATGTGTATATAATCCCGCTTATGCGGGCTGAACCGCTACACACAGAGAAGGGCCTCAAAACTTACCCCAGAATGCGCCACGTACTCAATCTCATCCACTACATTGTGAGATTAGATGAATGTTATTTTCCGAATTCTTAGATCTTCATTTCGTTTTCAAGCGCTTACTGGCTTTACGTGTTCCCTCTGCTCTCAATATCCCATCCTCTGTATATCAAGTGGAATCTTTGAACAGTTCTCAGCAGGCATAGTGGGCCTATTATGTGACATTTTCCATTTTCAGAGGAGATGTTTTGCAGAAAGCTGTGAAGATAGCGAACAATTTCCTTCACTGTCGTAGACTACGGTCACTTGTCTGTAAGGATTATATGGAAACCTTGGTCGCAGGTGAGCGTTTCTTCCGTGGTGTGACCCCAAACATCACCCCTTGTCATGCCTTTGCCCCCTATTACGTGACAAGTCCCATTTTTAGAGGAATGTTTTGTAGAAAGCTGTAAAGGAAGCGAAGAATTTCCTTCACTGTCGTAGACTATGGTCACTTGTCTGTAGGAATTATGTGGAAAACTCGGTCGCAAGTGAGCGTTCCTTCCGTGGTGTGGCCCCAAACATGCCTCCTCGTCATGCCCTTGTGGAAAGTTCAGATTTTTTGCATTTCCAGATGAACTCGCAGACCTGAAATGTGCCCCGTTAGCTTCCCCGTGAAAAATGCTATCGAATGATATGCATTACCCCCCCAGTTGAAACTTTGGTTTTTCACCGTTTTCAGCCTTCCCCTATTGCCGGATTGGGCACTATCCCACGATTACTGCCCCAAAATCTCAAAGTTTCATTTTTCGTCGAAACTTTGTCTATTGGGGTAATTCGATGCCCTGATTACGAATATGACATTCATTTTTGATGCTGGTGTCATTTGGCGCCATTTGGCGCCGTCACGAATATAACATTCAGTCTTGACGCCGGCGCCATGTGGTGTCACAAACAACACTTCACAGTCAGAGCGTACTCTTAGGCACCTTTCTCAGAGCGCCGACTGTCAGACCGTGGAAAAGGTCATCGAATCGGAGACTTTCCCACGACAGGAAGGAGCCAGAAGCATGTTTCACGTTTTCGACAACGATGGCTCTTGCTACTCTTTAGCGACACAATCGTCAATGAGAGCTACTGGGCTTAGCCTTGAAGGACGTGTACGAGACGCTCAAGTTGAATAATCTGCACTTACTGGTTGCGATCCATGGGGTGATGTCTGTGCCACTATGCCATTCATGTCAACGATCCATGAGCCTGATCAACGACGAACGGCACAACGGCTGGATTTGCAATCGTCGAGCGTGCCGCACTGGACCGTCGAACGAGACCAGGGTCTACGTTCATGCCCGAAAGGATTCCTTTTTCGAGAACTGTAACTTTCCTGAGTCCACGGTGTTCGCACTGCCCTATTTCTGGCTGCGCGACATGGGCAAGGTGAAGGACAAGGAATACGAGCTCAACGTCGGCCACACCAGTTCAATTCAGTGGGAGCGGTTCTTCCGCGAATGTGTGGGGCACTTCAGGAGGAACCCGCCGATCATCGGAAGGTTCGGGTGCGAGATGGAAATTGACGAAACACTGGTTATCAAACGCAAATACAACCGCCGACGTTGGGTACGCAGGCACAAGTGGCTGTTTGGAGGCATTGAAAGAGGAAGTGGACTCCTTCGGATGGTCCGAAGGAAAGACGTTTCAACTCTACTGCGGCTCATCATGAAGTAGTACATCGAGCCCGGTACTACCATCCTCAGTGACAGCTGGAGAGCTTACAGTCGAATTGCTGCTCTGCCCAACGCATACAGGCATCTCCAGTGAAAACGTGAAATATGCTTCTGGCTTAGCTCACAGTTTCCCACCGGTTGGCTCATCCTGCGTGGGAAAGCTGCGACTTCGATGACCGTATTTCAACCGGCTCTGTGACAGTAGTCGCCTCTGAGAATAGGCCTAAGATTTGTCTGATTGGAAGTGTGTGTTGTGACAACCACATAGCGCCGGCCGTATCAGATGTTATATTTCGTGAATCAGGACCCCAAATAACCCAAATGACGAAGTTTCAGCAGATTTGGTGAAAACAGCCGTGGCGCCAAATTGGCGCCAAACGGCGCCAAATGGCGCCAAATGACACCAGCATCAAAAATGAATGTCATATTCGTAATCAGGGCATCGAATTACCCCAATAGACAAAGTTTCGACGAAAAATGAAACTTTGAGATTTTGGGTAATCGTGGGATAGTGCCCAATCCGGCAATAGGGGAAGGCTGAAAACGGTGAAAAACCAAAGTTTCAACTGGGAATGCATATCATTCGATAGCATTTTTCACGGGGAAGCTAACGGGGCACATTTCAGGTCTGCGAGTTCATCTGGAAATGCAAAAAATCTGAACTTTCCACAAGGGCATGACGAGGAGGCATGTTTGGGGCCACACCACGGAAGGAACGCTCACTTGCGACCGAGTTTTCCACATAATTCCTACAGACAAGTGACCATAGTCTACGACAGTGAAGGAAATTCTTCGCTATCTTCACAGCTTTCTGCAAAACATCTCCTCTGAAAATGGAAAATGTCACATAATAGGCCCACTATGCCTGCTGAGAACTGTTCAAAGATTCCACTTGATATACAGAGGATGGGATATTGAGAGCAGAGGGAACACGTAAAGCCAGTAAGCGCTTAAAAACGAAATGAAGATCTAAGAATTCGGAAAATAACATTCATCTAATCTCACAATGTAGTGGATGAGATTGAGTACGTGGCGCATTCTGGGGTAAGTTTTGAGGCCCTTCTCTGTGTGTAGGCAGCCCGCATTTTGAGATGAAAATCGAGTGCATGGCGCAATCCTATATGGAGCTTTTCCAAAGTATCAAAGCACATTCTTATAGTGTCCGACGAGCTGAATTCAAAGATATCTTCGGATTCTCGAAAGCTCAATTTTGAACCGAGTTATAACGAATTCACGAAATTAACGAGGATTCGCGTTATTCGCGTGAATTTTCGATTTCAAACGGCGAGTACTGTACAAACTTCTTCGGTACCTCATGGCGCCAAAGTAGGAGATACCACCAGGGTACGCTAGGAGGGGCGTACTTATAGAGGACTTCTAGATAACGCCTATTCATCAATTTTATTATTCATCAAATAGTTTAGATACTCTTCGTCGGTCCCAAAGAGACATGCGAAATGAAAGCGAACTGCGTGGCCACAGATGGAGAGCTAATCGAAGATGTATTTGACGTTTCTAGCGTGCAGGATTACATAAGAGAAACGGAGCCGAGTCCCACTTCTGGCACTACGGAACCGAGCCCAGTTGAGAGGGAGGTATCACAAGACAGATACGCATGGAGGAAGATATATCCCTGATCAAAAATATGCTGATTCAAACGTAAGAAATTCTCTTATTGGTAGAAACCATGGAAGCTTTTTTGAATAATTCTCTTCTTTATCCCATTCAGGAACGCCATGTTGACTTCCCACACTGAAAAGAAGAAAGGCTGGAGCAAATCGGGAGGGAGGTTCTAAGGAGGAACCCCGCAAAGCAGCCCCAAGATGCGCTCAATTCTCTAATGTTATGCTAATGGCTTGCCATCTTATTTCAAATACTTTTAAGGCAACATCGCCTACACATATGCTAGTGAAAGGTCCGTCGCAGAACTCAGGGAAATGAGAGGCCAGATCAAGAACCAGTTTGCTCTAGATTTGGAGAAAATGGTTTACGAGGACGACCCGGAGGAACTGCAGCTCGTTGTGGATAACCGAATTCGAACAAAAGACCGTATCATTTTCATTCGACAGGGGATTTTTATAGTAATGATAGCGAAGACTAAGATTCCCGAGATGAAGCATTCATTGGGATCAGTTGTTTTTTTCAGTGTGTGCTGAAGTTTTATGAGATCCCGGAACATCTGCGCGAGGACGTTTGGAGGAAAATTAAGGATCTTAACAGTCGTGTGAGGCGCCTTTGAAAGGCCATAAGGGATGGACAGTCTGGCTCACAAAATCGGCGAAGTCCCTCACGAATACGAGGAGCTTGATGCCTAGGTGTTCATGAATGAAACTCTTCATATTAGGCGTCTTTGATCCATATTTCTTGATCGTGTTCTCATCAACTGTTTGCTCATATAATATTTGAATAAATCATGAAGCAATTTATGTACAAGTGGCAGAAAACCAAGAATATTATGTAACCACATGTCAAAGATCGATGAAATACACAGTCATTGAGTGAAATGCGGAGGTTGGCGGGTCGGCGAGGCGCACGTGAATCGCACGTGGCCGCCAAGGGCTGGGAAGACGATCGGCAATGGGGAGCAAAAAAGTGAGAAAAACAAAGTTTTGTGTGCAACCTGAGTTGTACACCATTCGGTAGTATTTTTCATGGGAAATCGAACGGTGCACCCCTCAGCTCTGTAGAGTCATCTGGAAGAGCAAAAAATCTGATTTTCATTTTAGGGCATGACGGAGAGTGATGTTTGGGGCCACACCACGGACGGAGCGCTTACCCGTGACCAAATATTCTACATCAATCCTACAGAGAACTGGAGTCTACGTCAGTGGAGAGATTCCTGGCTATCTTCTCAGGTTTCCGCAAATCATCTCCTCTAAATGTGGGGAATGTCACATAATAGGTCTACTACTACTGCTGGAAACTGTTCGAAGATTCTCATTTGGAGTGGAAGAATGGGTTGATCAGCGCACGGTTAGCCAATTAGCGCTCTAGAACGAATTAAAGATCGTGAAATTCGAAAAAAAACATTCATTCAATCTCACCATATGGTGGACCGGTTGGGTACGTGGCGTATTCTGAGGGTGTTGAGATCCATGTTTCTGTGGGATGATCAGGCTGCATAGGAGGACTTATATGCGCATCACATACAAAGTATATTCATTACTTCTCGGGATGGAGGTCG